TTCCTATCTATCTATCTATCTATCTATCTATCTATCTATCTATCTATCTATCTATCTATCTATCTATCTATCTATCTATCTATCTATCTGTATTCTCACTGTCGTTTCCAGCCTTAACTACAAGCTTAACTGCACGGAGTGAACTGCATGGAGCGTACAGTAAACCTGCTGTTGCACAATAACGGTGAATCACTCTCTACACGCTCAGCAGGTCCAAAATGAGTCATGTTTAACAGAACCAACAACTAATGACTAACAGGGACGTTAAAACCAATGCAGGGTAACGCCGTTATTCCTGTCCATGGTGTTGTTGTTGCTGTTTGGTGTCATAAAGCTATAAAATACACAACATGAGCCTCTCCAGGCAGCTGAGATGTGTTGTTCATATCCAAACCTCTCAAACAGGACCATCACGTCAATGACTGCTGCCTATAAAATCAGTTCCTGCATTCGCACAGATTGGCAGAAAGAAAATCAAAGTGCTGATTTGTCGTTTGCGGCGGTTAAGCAGCATATTGAAGTCAGCGAGCTCTGGAGTCCAGTCACAAGGCCAGCGAGGTAAACCGACGCATGTTGTAAGTAGATGATTATGTGTAAGCAACAAAGAAAAGACCTACAACAGTTTACAGTCGATGGGGGTAAATTACAGGAGCAGCGGCGTCTCTGTGTACGGCGCTGCAGGACGGAGCAGAGCGCTTTCATTTCTTTCAAAACATGTTAAAAAGGAGCTCACAGTAAACTATGAAGACACACAGCGGCCTGGTTTCAGAGGCTCAAACTTCCTTTTTTTTTTAAAAAGAAAAGTTCATTTAGCATTTAAGCTTAAACATAACCCCACCAGCCATAAGTCAATGTTTAGGGAAAGGAGACACATGTCTTTCTTTGCTTGTTTTGACAGAGAGTGTATATCCCTGTTCTGTACTCTGTAAATTGTCGACAAACGGGCCTATGTGCTCCAAAGTATACGATTCATAGCAGCGAGCACTTTACAGTGTAAACAAAAGTGTGTATTCCAGGATGGAGAGATTGCCCAGTCCTCCTCTAAAGGGAGAGCTGATTTTTAAAAGCAAACCTTAAATTAAGGCCTGAACTAGCACAAACTATTGAAACACACAACACAGGGCGGGTGAGAAGTGCTGTGGTGTGCAGAAGTCAGACACTACATATTGACAAGGCTTCTGCAGAGCCATTTAACAACTCCAGCGCGCTAACAATGAGGAACTTGCACCGTGTGTCCAACGACAGCTGACATGTAGCGATGTGGATTTTGCAATGCTAGCACATATTTCATCCTTTATGTCGACTCTTGTCAGGCATGCCTGCAGAAACTGTCTGGGAATGTGCTGCAGAGAGAAATACTGTTAAATTTATCTACTGCACACTGAGGAAACTTCTCCGTGAATGGCACGCTTTAGAAGCTTTGTGATGTACGTCCGTGTCAGTGCAGTCATTTGTCTGCTGCCTCGGCTCAGTTTTGTCTTTCCAGAGTGATCAGCTGCCGCCCTACAGCCTGCTAACCTTAGTCACACATGTTTGGGTATCAATACGTCATTCTATTTCATGTTCTTTTTCTGCTGCACATCCAACTTGACATTTTTGTCCAATTACAAAGCGTGAATCCAGGAAAAACAGAACAGAAATCCTGCCACCTAAACACATAAATAATGCAGGAAAACGGATCCACGCAGAGTTTCAACATGTACTTAGAAATAAATTAGTAATGTGATCGCAACAACATCGTCTGTTTCCCAGAGTCTGGAACAACAGCTTAGCTAATCCACTCCCAGCTGCCTCTGCTGGTTTTCATTAGGCTGCGGTGGCTCTGACACTTGTTTTGTGTTGTTAAAGTCATGCGTTACAGATGTATGTACGTGCATTACACATTAGCGGAGCTTACTTTAGGACATATGGCGCTATCTGACTCTGGAAGCTTACCCTAGCATTAGGCACAGCTAATGCGTGCCCTGACCGTCACCTAACCCATTAAAAACGACCAAAAACTATTTCTGCTACTTCAGTGAAACCAAATTGGGCGCACACATTTTGTCCCTATTTCATCTCCAATCAAGCGGTTTGAAGACCAAAATTTGTCCCCAAATGTGCACCATGGCATTCCCCCCTCACACACACACACACACACACACACACACACACACACACACACACACACACACCATTAGGCCCTCCAGCTCTGAAGGGTTTGATGGTTTGACATCTGGAGAGCAGCTGCCGTAACCTCTCCTCCTCTCCAGTCTGGCCCAGCCTCTCCTCCCTCTAGGGAATGAAAGCATTTCTTCGTCTGTAACACCACTCCACTATTATCCTCCTACTCTGCCCCACCCGCCCGAGGAACGCCCTCGTAGTCTTTCCAAGCCCCAAATCTGGACCAGCTAAATTATACAGCAGAGACATTTTAGGGAACATAGGCAGAGATAAAAAAGGCCCGAGTCTCGGATCCAGTTTCTCCTTTTCTTGGAGGTGCGCTGATCTCTCGGCTCCCCTCTCACTGTAACTCTTCCCCCTGTCTTTATAGTCCTGGAAGATAAAGAAGCTAGAAGTGATGGCTCACGGCTGGCTGGCTGGCTCTGTTGACAGACGGCTGTGTTCTTCTTGCCTGGCAGATCTCAGATCAGACCGCGGCCCCAGGAACTGTGACAGAGCAGCTATCTGCCTGCCTGCGTTGATCACACATCCGTCTTCCACAGACACACACAGGCAGGTGGTATCACAGGCAGAGGAGACAAGAGGAAGCCGGGGCTTTATAATGATGCCCTGGGATGTGTCACTCTGAGTTTGGGCGTCTGTGCTCACATACGCTCGTGTTTTGTCTCATGTGAGGTGATATCTGAGGGAGTCATGAGTGACTCACCGACCTCCAGGGACAACTCGGCAACGTCGGGGGGAAACAAGCGACCGGTAGCGTGAGAGCATGCGACTCTTTAAAGAGCGCTCTGTAAACACATCAGTCTTCCCCCCTGCTGCTCGGATTCCAGAATCAATAGCAGATCTCTGCCAGCGTACGATCTGCGAGGAGATTTTTAGCTGCCAGTGAAGCTAAACCAAATCACTGCGTCTCATTTGCTCGGCTTGTTCTTTCCACCTTCCTCAGGGTCTGTCGAAGTGGGAGGCTGGCTGTGTTTGCACAGCGATTTAACCTTTCAGCATGGGAACGTCTCTCTGGGTTGTGGCCTTAATGAACTACACATTTCACCCCTTTGCTCGTCTCGGAGAGCTGCCAAGTCTGGAAAACGGGGACAGAGATACACAGAACACAGGAAAAACACATCAACCAGCCCAGCGGCTTCTATCTTTAGTCCAGACGTGGGACGGGAACCCCTTTGTTTCCCCTCTCAAGTAAATCTCCACCAGCCTGTCCTCCCTGTCTGTGCCGACATGAGTAAAGCTGGATGGCTGTCTCCAGCGTTGCACTGCAGTGGGAGAATAATTAACTGCCGCCTCACCTACCTCGGGGTAGGAAGAGAAAGACAGACAGAGATGGGAAAAAATGTGACTGTGAGTTGAAAGTGTCAGGTTTAGAAGCAGACTCAGAGTTTCTGCGCGAGGCCAGTGTGGAAAATGTGTTTCCAATGTTTGCTCCCGTACGCAGCGTTTTGAGCTCTAAGTAAATGTGAAGTGAGGGAATGAAGGACTAAATGGACGGTGGAGGATGTGGGATGAATGAATGAGGACGTTGTCCATGAGGACTTCCTAAAAGCCCCGAAGATGGAACCAAACGCAGCCACAGCCAACCTGGATTCATTTATTGCAGCATGTACGCTCTCCAGAGACATTAGCCGCAAAGAGTCCCGACACAAAGGAGACGTCCGTGCCTACAGAGTTACCTTCACACCAAAAACACAGCGTCTCGGGACTGTGCTCTTTGCAAAACAGGAAATAGTCTATTTTCTTTTAAGATGTGTACCCACAGGACACATATTCTCGCAGCTTGGAAGGAAAAGCAGAAGGGGATTGTGGGTCACTTGTACATTTCTTCAGAGGACTCCCAGGGCAGAGTAACTGTGCAATATGTACACTTCAAGAGGGGCCCTTTGGGGGATCGTGGGGGCAAAACAGGAAAACGCCAAAGTAGAAGTGTTCATGCCCAAACCCGGCATTCAATCACTGCTCTGACACAATGGAGACAGGAGCAGTGGCAGAAACAAACGGGACCACAGAGACACTAAAGGGAAGTGAAAACAAATGACTGACTGTCGACATGAAATACTGCACCGCGCCTCGCCTGCAGATAATCACCCATTTCGATTATTTGCACATATCCTGACCTTGTTTTTGCTACAGAATGACAAACACAAGTAACGGTACATTAGGAAAGTGAAGGCTTATCCTTGAGACTTCTGCAAGATGGATTGTGTGTTTGACACTTCTGGATTTTGTTCCCACCATGACTAATGGGTCGTCGGCGACTCGCACATAAGTCCTGTCACACGTCTAGTAAGTGAACTCAAGGTGGAGTTGGTCACTCGGCATCTAATTGGTGGAGCCAATGTGCTTGTTTTCCTTAGAGGTCAAGTGAGCTTGGCAGGTTTTTTTGTTGTTGTTGTTGCAGTATTTCTGAGGTTATTTACTGAGGTTCTAAAGGGGATTTTATCAATCAGTGCTTCCATTGATTTCCTGTACTGTACACAATCGGCTAAAGTCTCCTTTATCTATTATTTACTAAAGGTCACAGGGACGGTTTAAACGTGTGCACAGTGCACTGTATTATCAGTCAGGCTGAAGGCAGACATCCACAAAACATATCTGATCATGACTCTCATTGGGCAACAGTTTAACAGTTTTGATTATTTACGATTCCAACTGACAATTATTTTCTTCCACAAGCAAGACATAATGTGTTGCTGAAGTCCTTTTCACACATGGGATCTATCTATCTATCTATCTATCTATCTATCTATCTATCTATCTATCTATCTATCTATCTATCTATCTATCTATCCATCCATCCATCCATCCATCCATCCGTCATCCATCCAACCGTCCATTAATCCATCTCTAAAGAAAACTAAGCTCGATACATAGCACATGTTCCTCTTCCTCATATTTCCTGTGTGATGGGGTTAAATGGACTTTGATGAAGAATCAAGCGTCTCTTCTTTCCTCCATCTGAAGCGTTCCTCTCTGAACACAGCTCAACATGTTTTCACATAATCATTCAGTGATGTTCTCCCGTTAATTAATAATTCATGTAAAGCTCAAATTTTCATTCAACTTGAAGTTGCTCTACTGAAAAAGGAAAATATTTTTTGATCAAGCCAGCGGAGGTTTTGCTTTTTTGGGTAAGTGTGATGACATTATCTGGCATGAAACAAGCGATTATGAGCCATTACAAGCTACAGCGCTAGCCTTCATCCCTTAGCCTTGAATGTGTGTTTATAGGTTCATCTCACATCATCTTACCTCCGATTGCGCTGCACCTGGAGATGATCTCCCAAAGTACAAGAGCCATGGAATAAACGTCAGCTTGTTTGAAGGACTCAATGTTTTCTAGGTTGATTCTGGACTCCAGCACCTCTGGGGCCATGTACCTGGCTGTGCCCACCTGAGAAGAAGCAGGCAGGGAGAGAGACAGTGAAAAATGACAGTAAAGTTCTGTTTTGTACGGATTAAACAGGGTGGTACTGGTAAGGCAGGCTGGTAAACCACTAATAACTGCATTTTTCATACTTAACAGTAAAAAAAAAAACAGCTAAGTAGACCATTTTAGCAGTAGCAGCTACTTACCTGCAATAATCAAGTGACAGGTAGTAATTCTGTGCTGTGTGTAGTAAAGTGTCACATCGCATTTATCTGAATCAAAACATGTTTGATGCATAAAATAATTGGAAAAACAAAGGCAGCTCTGAGCTCATCAACACGTCGCTTGTCGGCTCATAATTACCACCTCGGAAAACGTGTTCGCTGGAGCTTCCTCCAAATGCATTAAGGGCATTACAATGCATTAAGTGTCCCGCGCAGCAAAGGGTGAGGCCTTTTTATAATGACTCATTTTCATAACAGAGTGTAATGTGGCTCTGGCCTATTACATCAGTGTAATGAGTCCATTAAGAATCAATCAGGCCTGTTTGTCTTGCAACTATAATAAAAACAACAACCTCAGAACACTTACGGTGCTATTTCTATCAGCATTATCCATCTGCGGCCAAGACACAGAGGCTGCCAAATATTTAGAGACGCTGTCCCTGAGTGGTGAGGATCAGAAGTGAAAAGTTTGATTTATGGCGCGGCTGTTTTCAGGGTCTGATAACCATCTTCAAAGAAATATATGGCAGGGCTTAGAAAGGCCTGTCTGGGGTTCTGCCACGAATTATAACATGATAGGACTTTTTTTTTTATCTCTTAAGAGATCAAGAGCCAAGTGAAATCAAATAATAACCCAAAATGTAGGGATTAGAAAGCCTCACCTGCCCGCTGTTGGCCAGCTCATCCACAGACAGAGTGTTGTCCAGCCGGAGCGCCAGGCCGAAGTCGCACAGGCAGCAGGTCAGGTCGCTCTTCACCAGGATGTTGGAGCTCTTAATGTCCCTGTGCGCGATGGGCACCTTGTACCGGCCGCAGGTGGTGTGGTCGCTGTGGAGGTGGGCCACTCCGTGGGCGAGCGAACCCCCCAGCAGCCACAGCTCGTGCCAGTTGATAATGTGGTGACTCAGGTACTCCTGGAGGTTCCCTCGCGGCTGGTAGGCCGTGATCAGCCAGTACTGTCTCTGCACCTTCCTCTCCTCCGCCGTGAGGAAGTGAAGCACATTCTCATGTCTCAGATCCGCGTCAGAGAAAATGTCCTTCTCGTTCTTCCATGAGGCGTATTCTTCGTACGAGAAAATTTTAATTGCCACCGTCTCGAAGCCCTGCTCCTCGCTGACGGAGGAGCCCTGCTTCAGCTTGGCTTTGTACACTTCCGCAAAGCGCCCTTTCCCGACCTGGACGTCGAGTTCGATGGGCAGCAGCTCGGTGTTGTGGTTGAGGTTGTTGGCGAGCGTGGAGCTGCTGTCTGAACCCTCCTCGTCTATGATGATGGCGCGAGCGTCGCTGAAGTCCAGTGGACCCTTCTTGCGCTTGGAGTGGGCTTGGCGCTGGCGGTAGACCCGGTAACAGTAGAAGGAAGTGATGACGACGACGGCCATAACCAGAAGAGGCACCAGGCTGACCAAGATGACCGCCACCACCTGGGAGTCCTTATCTGAAAGAACAAACGTCCAAGAGTTAAGATGATGACAATGAAGACCACAGACCACTTATGTAGTTTGGTTTAAAGCTGCGTAAAGCAATAGTATTGCTTTAAAAATAGAAAAAAAATGTTGCATGTACTGTTAAGGTGTCAAATCCATGGAGAAGATCTGAACTCTGTGTTTCAGCTCCCATCCACGAGTGTTGAGCATGTTTCAGGGGATTGTTTTGGTTTTACAGGCCGCCATTCCACTTTCACAAGCACTGTTTTCAGCAAATACACACCGATAAACCCACAAAAACGCAAATACGCAATTTCAGTTTCACAAAGTGAGACTATGACAGTTTTCTGTTCTGTCCCAAACAATCGATGCCGTGTTTGTTAACCTTGGAAGGTGCAGCAGGCGAAACACAACACAAGGTCTCCTTCGTTGTTATTCTCGATCATATCACAGGATCTACATCAGCAGACAGAGTTTGTGCAGCTGGTATGGAAGTGTAGGTTCCAGAGAGAGCTGAGAAATGTGAAGGTTTTGTGTGACATGCACAACCACCGGATGTCGCATCTCAGACAAAAACAAACGCCAGCCACAGCGCCGCCCCCCCACCCTCTCACTTTCATTTACAACCAGAAAGGCTGTGCACCAGATAACCAGCAGAAGCAGTCCAGCAACAAACATCACTTCACGCCAGCGATGCAAAATTCACTGACTGTTGTCTTCACTTCATCACCAGCAGATGAAGAGCAGCAGAAGAGGAGAGCTTCCAAACAGTAGAGCTGAAATAAAACACGCAGCGCAGATAAATTATGTATAAACCATAAATAAGATCCTTGTTTTTAAACTCTTTTCTTGTTAGGGCAACAGCTGAACACTCCAGACTGGAGCACTGCTGATTTTCCAGTGTGGTGTTGGAGGTCAGTCTGCGTCTGTTTTTAAGCGTGGGGAGGGTGGACGGTTTCAAACCAGAAAAACACAGAGAGGTAACGTGACTTCAATCTCCGGTCAGGTCGTCGTTACTCGACCGTATCTTTACATAACAGACAGGTGTTTGCTGATATGCTAATGCTACATATGGCACCTCTAACACCCAGTCTGCAAACTCCAGGTGCTAACGAAGATCTGATATTATCAGACGCTCCAGAATAGACACGATCTGTTAGAAATTGTATTATTCTTTTGGATTTTTGGTCTTTAAATGCTTTATAGCCGGTGCATTTCTCCACTTCATTCCATCCATCCAGCTGTTTTTGGTAAACACAAGACACTAAAACTCAAATTGCTCCGCGGTAGATGGTATCAGCATCCAGCTAAAAGTGAAGTAATACCCTCGGAGCAGCAGAGGAACCTGCCTCGTCTCTGTGGAATGTCCATAAGCATCAGAAAACTAAAGTTAGCGTCTGGGCCACAAATGTAAACCGGTCCAAACCCTGACCCAGTCGACCGCACATTGTGTCTCTTTATAGCGGACGTCTGATTCTTATAATTTAAGAGGCGGCGCGTCTCGAAGCTGCAACGGTTTTGGCAAACAGTGAAAGTTTATGTTTGTGCTGCGTTTATGGTCCAGTTTTCTGAAGCTGCAGCTATAAAGGAAGACCTATAAAAAGTATATCGCCAGACACAACATACTAAAAAAGAAAACCTCAACCGGTCCCCAGCCTGCTGTCCGCTAAATTTAATCATTTATGTGTTTTCTTGTCAAGTGCCGTGCTTTCCTTAACAATGAGGAACTTTTAAATCTATTTTTTGTTTGTTTTTTATGCGAGCAGCAGAGTCAGGACGACGAACGGGGAAGGCATCTCATTCGGTGCCCAGCGAACCCTTGGCTTGTCTCTAATTTTTTTTCTTAACAGGAAACCACATGTCTGAAATCCTCCACAGGGCCCCAGACAGACAGTTTGTTTTGATTCTTGTAGAGTGAGAAGCTGTTCCTCACAACAAACCTGTCGCTGAGTCTTTCAGCCTCCACCAAAGATTCACTTGTTGTACAAAATATCAAACGTTCTGTAGGGACGCCGTTCAAAAGCCCTTCGTTTACTATTAGGAAGCTGAAAGCGGCTGATCTGAAATACTGTGCATATTTTCATTGAAAGAACTATTTCAGTTTTCTTGCTTTCTTGCTGAGAATTAGATGAGAAGTTTGGCAGCCCTCTCATATCTGTTAGCTAAATGGTTGATGTTTGCGCTAAGTTTAACATTTAGGCCACGTTTACACGTAGCCGGTATCCACAAAAACGGATCTATGTTTTCAGAAATAACATCGTTCGCACCAGATTGTTTTCAATAAAATCTACACAAACCCGCATAAACACGTCATTAAGGGCTGCTATGAGCTGCCAGACCTACAGGGGGCAGTGTGACAAGAAGCATAAAGCCATGCTAGCCAATCAGAATCCTGGAAAAAACACAAATACTTCCTGTTACTTCACTGATAATGGCGCGAGGGTGGTTTGTTTGGACAGACAGAGAAGTGGGGCTGCTCCTAAATGTGGTGTTAGAGACACAACAAGGAAAATACTAGAAAACATCGACTGCAAACACGTCAGTCTGTATATGGACGTAGCCAAACCATAAACATGGTGGCACACGTGACGCTGATTTTGTCGCTCACTGTGACGTCCAACTCCGTCTCCTCCCGTCTACATGCAAACGTATAGATGGGGGTTTTTTTAAATCTCCACTTTGGCCAGAGTTTTCAGATCTGATCGTTTTCAGTGACTCTTAGCTTCGTTTACATGTAAACCAAAGACCCATTGAAGTATCACCGTCTTTGCTACGTGTAAACGGGGCATCAGACTAGAAATGATGGGAAACAGCAGCAGGCATGGTGCTCTTGATTCTGGCTATATAATAACTTGTCAAACTATTGATGTGACTTTGTTGACAGATGCTGTTTCTAGTTTTTATGCTAAGCTAACGGCTCCAGCTTCACTCTTAAAGGACAAACACTAAAGTGGTATATATCAGCTTATCTAACTCTGAGTGAGAATGAAGATAAACATTCAGATTTATAAAGCTAAGCTGATTCATACATTCAATACAACAGCTCTTTTTGTTTATTTGAATCTTGTTTTCGCTAACATGGGGTCTAACATCCGTACCATTTGCTGTTCATGTATTTCTAATAAAATGCCTAAAAGCCCCATTATCCTCGGTGTCAGGGGAGCAGTGCAGTGGTGTGGACAGAGGGGTTACGACTACCATGGTGGAGCAAACAACTTCCCTCTAACTCAAGAAATGGCTTTAAGATGTTCTGCAGTGTCCTAAATCAAATTAATGCTTTGTGCAATGGACCACTGGTTCCGAATTAATACAGAACGGGGTAGAGTTACTTGAATCCACTGGTGTTGCTTCCTCGTCTTGAACACTGTCTGACTTGAGTCACTGAGAGTGCACAGACATTCTCCACGGTGAACGAATGTGTTTCCATGACGTGGTCCAAGCAGCGCACATGCTTTTAATTTGGCCCTGTGTGCAGAGCCAGGTCTCGGAAATGTACCTCAGTGTTGTTATTGCCGGGATGCCGTAGTCAAAATACATCTGATTCCAGGGCCAGCGCTGTAACCGGAGTCTACAAGCCAACGTCTCCTACACCTGTTTGCAATCGCGTTTTTGGAGCGCGTCGCGGTGCACACGTGTTAGCGTTCACGCATGACGCTTTACACGACGAGCCGATAGGAACGGGCGTTATAATATATCAGGTCTATGACGTCGCCGTGTTGTCCTGCAGATGTGGGTCCACTATAAAAGCGCCAGTGTGTCCGACTTAAACTAAGACTGTTACATAAAGAATAGATCAAGTGACTGTGTGTCTGGTGCGAGCGATGAACTCAGAGAAAATGAGTCCCAGACTCTGCAACACTAATAAGGAGCGTATAGCATGTCTTAGCTAATTGTTTTGGGGTTTACAGCTAGCTATTTTACTGCTCTGCTGTAATCTCGGCGCTCTCATCAAACTTTATTTCCATCCACAGCAGGAAGCTGTTGTCAACAGCCGCTGATACGCCCACAGTACAGAACTCACAGCAAATGTTTTGACTGGAGAACATGAACTGCGGTTACAGGGACGATATTTCTTAATTGAAATGACTATTATTAGAGTTTCCAACCGAACTGTTTCCACGAATAGAGTGAGCTGATAAACTGCGTGTTCAGATCTCCCAAAGGATTTAATTAGAATATATAATGTTGTCGACACGCACAAGGTGGCGGCATCAGCTGTCGAGCATCCAATCTGCAGTAAATAGAACAGAAGTATGGTTTTTAAAACTTTAATGTATATTCTCAGCAGTGTATGTTGTAATTCTCCTGCGATCTCTGGACAAGAGGGAGAGTGCAACAGGACCTATAACTTATCAAACACAGTAAGACCAGATAGTGGATGAAAGTAAAAAGGCTGGAAAAAGAGAATTGTGTGTGTAAATGGAGGAAACACGCACAAAAAGAACTTATTTATTCCAACCAGAAAGATGGTTATTAATATTTTCCTATTGAACTCATTAACAAAACTTTCCCACCATCGTTCCGATCACATTGGACATGCCGCTCCTCTCAGACGTATGGTTTGACAGGGCTTATTCTAATTATTAGTGTAATATTAGGGTCCACATAAACACAGCTGCTGTAACCACGTAGCAATAACCATGTAAACATAACAAGCAAGGAGCAGATTAGAGCGAAAGAGGAAACAGTGAGTGAACATCTGTCAAGTTACAAGAATCATGACTCTAAATGATTACAGCCATGACCCGACAGTCCAACACTAAATGGAAAACCTTCTTTTATGTCGGATAGCAAGGCTGTCGGATTGTCAAGACGGAGGTC